CGCGGATAAGCAACTCCAGATCGCTCTTTCGTATGGCTATGGAGTTTTGATCTGAATTGATTTTCTTCTCCCAAATCTCACAGATCTTGGACTCGTCCAGTGCTAGCACTTTGGAGAGCGTTGTACGCCGCTGCGAATCCTTTTTCAGACGATAGAAGCCATCCGTTTCGCTCGTGTCGCTAATGCTGGTGCGCAGGGATGGCGTCTGGGGTTCAATCTCCGGCGATAGCAGAAAGCCAGACGAATTCCGACGTTCAATAATAAAATTCTGTGTGCTGCTCAGCTCATTAATGTCCACTGACGATGTGCCAAGTGAGACGCTGCTTGGAGTGAAAACATAAACAAATTAGTTATATAAATATAAAAGCAAAAAGCTGGGACTTACTCAAGTTCCGGAGTCGTGGGTGTATTCGATGTGGTATTATAGGTCAAGGGCGGCGTCGTTTTGTGCACCAAGCGATCAGCGGGCACGGAGATGCTGCGTCCAAACTCCGAGGTGTTAATCGGCAAGGCAGGTCGCAGCTTGCGTGGCTTGCTGTAAGAGAAAACAAAAATAAATGAGAACTGAGAATAAAAAGCAACTGGGACACACTTACTCTGTCAGAAAAGGATCATCAAGCAGCTGCAAGGCAGAGGGTCTGTCCTGCACGCTTATGGCAAAGCAGCGTAAAATAAAATTCTTGGCATTCGTAGACATTTCCTCCGGTATGTTGGGATGCTTCTTGTAGAAGCCCACCTTAAACATGGCCGCCTGTGGATTTCCCAGTTCACTAAATGGCGGACTTCCGGTGGCCATTTCAACATTTGTGCAGCCAAAAGACCAAATATCCGCAGGCGGTCCATAACCGCGCACGCCCTGATCAATGACCTCTGGCGCCATATATTGCAGTGTGCCCGCAAATGTGTCTGTCATGGGATTGATGCGCGCCAGGCGCTTTGAGGTGCCAAAATCGGAGATCTTGACGACTCCACTGTACGTGTTGACCAACACATTGTCACCCTTGATGTCGCGATGGACAATGTCCTGTTCGTGTAGGTACTTGAGACCCTGCAGTATCTGCTTGGAGTAGAAAGCCATGGTGGACTCGTTATCCTTGAGCGGACCCCATTTGGTCTTTAGCAAATCGGATAGCGAACCACCGGGCACCTGCTCCATGAAGATCTTGAAGAAGCCATCCTCGGAACGTGAACCCAAATACTGTACAATATTGCGATGGCGCAGCTGCGAATGCAATTTGATCTCCTCGTGCAGTGGCTGCACATCCTGTGAATTCTTCTCCGGCACCTCCTTGATGGCAATACGCACCTGCGTTTGCTTATCTCGCGCCGCGTACACAGTGCCATAAGTGCCCTTGCCCAGCGTAATCTTGCGATTCTGATCATTATAATCGTATTCATACTGCAAATTTTTGATGAATTACGAGGGATTGGATACAATTTGAATAGCTCAAGTTAGACCCACCTCGATTTGCGCCTCATCAGTCTCCAGATTGACAAACACCTCCTGGTCTGCAGTCATTTCCAAGATGCGATCGTAAAAGCTTTGCCGGCACTCGGTGGATGGAAAGTATATTTGAAAATCGTCCGAATTGTGATGCACATATAGATACGCACAGAGATCGTCGCGTTTGTACAGACTAACTGATTTAATCTTCGAAGCAACAAACAGAAAATCGTGCAGCTTTTTGCAAGCATTCTTCGAGTGCGCCAGACAAATGTTTACAATCTGTATAGACTTCTCATCGGCATCCATGTTTATAGTCACATAGCTGGGCATATAAATCTTGTTGGGTTCGAGTATCTGCAAGAAAATGATAGGGATTAGATATTCAATTGCTTGACCAATTACAAATACAATACCTACCAAAATGGGGAAGCGTATGCTATTAATCTCTTTGACATTAATGGCCATCAGAAAGAAGTCCATCCAGAATTGAAAAGCCTGCTCCTCGATGGGCAACTGCCTATCCTCGGGCTTGCGCCGAAAGCGATGTATCAGCGATATATTGCCAATGGTTGATTTAAGCGACCAAATGGGCGGCTTCAGCTTGAACATGCACTCGGCTGCCTGTATGGCCTTGGCATAGTCCTCGGCCAGCACGGAGATCTCAAAAAATGTCGCCACATCCCAGTAGCCACTGAGCGTTGACAAGCTGCCCTTTTTGCCAATGAGATTGTTGAGTGTCATGCCAATATGTTGCAGCTCGACGGTATTGCTGAACTCCTTGCCTTCGATTACCAGCAAGGTGGCCAAATTGATGCCCGCATATTCATTTGGCTGCACCTCAAAGCTTTGGCGATACCATTTGATGGCATTCTCCAGGCTCTTTGTATCTGTACAGTCCGATTCCACAAACATGTCCTTGTAGATACGTCCGCATAGGCACAACATATCCGGAAATGGATTCTCCATCTTTTCAAGCGCTTTGAGTGATGATTCTAGTGCTTTCTCGCGATCCCCCGGCCGATTGCGTCGATTCAACGCGAACGCATACAAAAAACTCATATTGTCCGTTTCCACATATTTGCGTGTGTTTGGTATGTTCTTTAAGTCATTCACTAGACGCACCATCGCATCATAATCCTGCACATCCCGCAGTGAGCACATAAAACTGTGCAATACCTCGCCGGACAGCACGTGTGGATCGTCCAGGCGTTTACGCATCTGAAATGCGGGAACATTAATTAATTAGCTTGGATATAATAAAGATGGTAGCCTGAAAAATTAATCACACAATACAAACGCCACAAAAGATTGTAGTATTTTTAAACTTAATCTGTACTGCGCCTTTACTAATACCAATTTCTTGAAACTTGGATATTAATCATCGTTTTATGTAGTCGAGCTTTGCATTAGTAATTAAATATATGTGTACATACATGTACATATAAATATTTGCATTAATCTTACCCCATGTAGAATGCTTTTTAACTTATCATCGCTGGGCGCGTAAGCGTCTCGCGCCGCTCGCATATCACTGAGAAATTTCTCGCGCATATGTGCCCTATGGTTGGCAATTGGGATCAAGTAAATATTAATGTAATTTCAATAGTAACGAAAGTGTCACAAATACGAACTTTGATTGTATTTCAACATCTTGCAATTTCCGCTTGAGACGTGACTGTAATGTGGTAGGCACGCGTCCATCTGCGGGTGGCTCCTTGTTGCTGGCCTGATGTGTTAAGTGGCAGGAGTTGGTCTCAGCATTACGTTTATAGCTGAGGAACAAGTAGTTGGCACAAGAGAGCTGTATTACAAGACATATAAGACATTAGAGACATAAACAATGGACGGCACTGTGGAGTTGTTTTTTTGACCTGCACAGTTAAGTGCATGTGGCGTAGACAGAAATTTGGAGCCCTCTGGCAAACATAATTGAACATATTATGATAGGCGCTTGACTAAACTCTAGCGAGTATATAAATAGATTCGTTTTCGGGGCGGCGCTCTATATATAAGTTAAGTTGAATACGTTTTTATGGATGCTACAGTATGTTAAACAATATGTGAGCCAGACATGTTTTTTTGGAGGCCGGTGTAAGTGAATGCAAGCGCTGTGTTTGTTTATAGCGTACATGTTTATATTTATGTGTGTGTGTGTGCGTTTGTGTGTACCCGCGACGGCGTGCGTGTTGTTTTGTGTTTTGCGTTGGCGTCCGTGCATTTGTTGTTGTTTTGTTTTATTGTATTAGCTTTTCGTGCCGCGACGGCCAAAACAAAAATAACACCTCTTTTGCTTCACAGAACGGAAGCACAACAAAAAAAAACTAACAACAACAACAGCTTGAGTGGCTCCTGCGTCTGCTGCTGGGCGCTGTTTTAAAACCTTAAAGCAAATGCTCATTGCTTGGTAATTTATCTTATCTGCAGAACACGTCGATTATGCTGTGCGTTTTATTGTTGCCCTGCATTTGCCAACATCTTTGCTAATCAAGCTGCTCGCACACCTGTTTGTCAGCACATATTTTCTTTATACATACCCTTAAGCTGAGCGTCTGTTTGGACTCCAAATCGTTGTAGATTAAGATGTTCTCCTTCATGCCGAAACTTTCGCGCACCCCATAATGATAGGATAGCGGACGCTGTTGTGTTAATATGCTTAAATCTATGACGGCAACATCGGCATTATAGAAGGTTTCCTGCACATTCGTTTCGCCATAATCCAAGCGCTCGAACTGCAATTCAAATGTTTTCAATATATTATTGTATAATGATTTTCATTTCTTTTTTTTTGTTGTAGTTTTTGTTTTTCTTTTTAACCGCCAACGCACCTGTACGCGCTGAAAATTGGCTCCTGCTGATTGTACGGCCTGCTTGATCTCCTCTAAGGCGCAGAGACGATCTTCCAGATGATCGCCCACAACAGTATCAATTACACAAACAACATCCATAGCTGTCGCTGACGCTGTTGTTCGCCTATTGGGCTATTCCTGGCGCACAACGCCTGGGTGTATGTGTGTGTGTGAGTGTGGGAGGGAGGACGGAAAACGCAGTTCGTATATGGTTGCTAACATGCGTTTGGTTTGTTGTGCTCGTTTGTGCAAATCGTAAACAGCCTCATTACCACACACTTGTTGTAATTGCACTGTGCTAAATGTATTATAACGTACAACTAGCAATAAATACGAAATTTTGTTGAAATGTGCGCAGAGTAGATGTTGACGCCGCTGTAAAATAGGCACCAGTGTGACCAGATCTGGCGATCGTGCAAATACTTATAATTTATGTAAACGGAGAAAAATACCATTATGTTAACAGCAGAGCTACTTAACAGTGCTCTTTGCGCGGCTAGTGAATGTAAACTGAAAACCACATAAATAAATTTGTTTATATTTTTGGTAAAATGGAAATAACATGTGAATTCTTACAATGTAATTTTAATTTTGCAATTACAAAGCACTATTTAGCCTAGCTCCAAGATTCAATAATGATAATCAAGAAATTTGATAAACCTTCACTTGTTGCATGCCCACACACCTTGGAGTATATAAAAAGTAGGGTACATTTTAGTCGACTCGAGACTTTATTGCATTTAGACTTTGTGCTTTAAAATATCTTTAAAAAAAGGAATTGCCAGTATTAATTAGCGTACTCCTTGAGTATTGAGCCCGCCACGACCAGGCGTTGAATCTCTGAGGTGCCCTCGTATATTTCGGTTATGCGCGCATCTCGGTAATGTCGCTCCGCTGCCATATCAGTTACATAGCCCATGCCGCCCAAGACTTGGATGCACTGATGGGCGCACAGTGTAGCCGCTTCGGAGGCAGCCAATTTGGCCATTGCCGCCTCTTTCGTATAGGACAGCTTGTTATCCTTTAGCCAGGCGGCGCGCCATGTCAACAGACGGGCTGATTCCACAGCCAGGGACATGTCGGCAATCTTTTGCTGTATGGCTTGCAGCTTGGAAATGGGCTTGCCGAAGGCCTGACGCTTCTGCGCATAGTCAACGGCCAGTTCCAGTGAGGCCTGTGCAATGCCCAGGGCCTGGCTGGCGATGCCAATACGTCCAGCGTCCAGCGTTTGCATGGCAATCTTAAAGCCAAAGCCCGTTTCGCCCAGCAGACTCTCCTTGGGTATTTCGCAGTCTTCGAATATGAGCTGACAGGTGGAGGAGCCACGTATACCCAGCTTGTCCTCCCTTTTGCCCAGTGAGAAACCTTTAATGCCCTTAGGTACTATAAATGCGGAGATGCCCTTGTGCTTCAGCTGCTTGTTGGTGGTGGCAAAGACAACAGCCGCCTCTGCCTCAAATGCATTGGTTATCCACGCCTTGGTGCCGTTCAGCACATAATGATCGCCCTTTTCCGTGGCAACAGTTGACGCAGCGCCCGCATCGGACCCGTTGCCCGGCTCGGACAGCGCAAAGCAACCCACACGCTCGCCCGTCGTATACGGTGTGATGTAGGCAGCCTTTTGGGCAGCATTTGCGTAGCTCAACAATGGGCCCAAATACAGTGAATTATTCACAGACATAATAACGCCCGCTGAGGCGCAACCACGTGAGATCTCCTCCATGGCAATGGCATATGCCAGATAATCCAACCCGGTTCCGCCGAGCTCCTCGGGCACAGCCACCGCCATGAGGCCTAGTTCGCCCATTTGCCTGATCTGTTTCGCAGGATAAAGGTGTTCGCGATCGAATTTGGCCGCATTTTGACCCGCCAGTTCAGAGTTCGCAAAGTCACGGCAAGTTTTTTGGAGCATCTGGTGCGTCTCCGACAACGCGGAGAGCGATGCAATTTGCCGCACATGCAAGGTCTGACGGGCTAATAAGGTGTTAAGGATGATCGTATTAACATAGTATATGCATATCAACAAGGCAAAGTCCAGACGGGATCAACTTACCGATTTTAAAACTTCTGCTTAAAACGGACTGCATTTTACTAACCTATAAAGTTAAAATTGTTTTTTAATTATTTAACTAATTGATAGCGGTGTATTATCAATTATTGTGTGTGAAATTAACCCGCTTTTTATGCGAATGTGTTCGATAAGTGTAGTTCAGTTATCGATATTGTATGCTATGTAACAGAAGCCGGACACTGCGTTAACACACTGTTAAGTTAGCGTTAATAAAAATGGGCGCAATGTTAATTTTTAAATTTGACTGAACATGTTCATAGCTTGGATTCAACACAGTGCTTCAAAATACAAGCATAAATTATTTTAAAACATAATTTAATATGTACGTACGTATAAATTAAATCAAAGCTCATAAGGACAACATTACTCAGACAAATTATCGATAACACTGCGCCTGCGCCGCTCAAAATCGAGGAAGAAGCAAACCCATTTTCGAGCTCGCACAAACTTGTTTAACGTTTTTTTTTATTGCACAATTACATTTAATTCTATAAAAACAAGCACATAGGGCACCATTTATTTAAAAGCGGCAATAAGAACTAGTGTTTATAAGTCAATTGCACGAGTATTAATTGGCACCATAATTCTTTGTTGATTTGCAGTAAAATTTGTGTTTTGTTTTTCGTTTAGTTTTCTCAACTTCATTTTCTGCATTTATGTTTTGCTATTTTATTTGCGACGCTGTTAATTGCTAAACAGTAAAGCTATTGGTAAGAAAACAAGCAAAACTTTGCCATTTGTTTGCCCAAAAACTATGTTTGTTTATTTACAAAGGCGCGCTGTTACGAAAATTGAATAAAAATATACAACTGAAACTTGAGCTTCTGTCGGGGAAGCCTCTGATAACTGCAGCATTTTGCATTTTGATTGCACGTTTTATCAATATTTTAGCTAACGTTCATTTTCATTCAGAATGTGTCGGTTCGCGGACTCTTATCAGAGTGTACTCCCTCGATCACATTACGAATACGAAGTCGAATGCTGATAAAACCATTTGTTACTGGATTAATCGCTGGCTATAAAAGTGCGTCTCACATCTGGCCAAGAGCCCAGTTACAGATCTGGACGCGACACTGCCAGCCGGTTCCAGTGCCATTTTGTGAGTCCAACGCGTTTCGTCCTTGTGTAAGGTGTGCAGTCACCTCTATAAATATATTTTATAAGCGAGATAGTGTATTTAGTGCTCTTGCTTAATATTGATAAAGGTGTTATAAATTAAATACAATTAAATTGAACTCAAAGCTTAAAGTGCTAAAAAACTGAACGCCAAGTGAACAATATTCCTTACAATAAGAACAACCAAAAATCGGCCTCAAATGAGAGAATATTTTTTTAACTTATTCCTATACTTCCAAAAGAATAATGGTATATGTTGATATGCAATTTCACATGGGTCCGATCCCTTAAATTTTTGCCCAGAATACCGACGCATAGCCCAAAATAACTGCCCAAGTCAAAAAGAAAAATTCTTCAAATTTAACCTTTAGCAAATGTTACAAAATACAAACAAATTCTAAATACTTAAATTTTGCCAACTCACCATGATTATGATTATGCACTAGACTTTATAATCGCATATCTAGTAATTAGGTTCGGTTCAGCCTCCTTGAGTCAAGATAAGTGTTATGTTATGACGTTGACAGCCTGTGGAATACCACTTAAGAAATCATGACCAAGCGGGCCATAAAAAAAAATAACAAAAATCTTATCAGCTAACAATTTTTCGTGTGCCCAATGAGGGAAATATTTGAATTAGATGAACCAAAATCCATGTTAAATTAACAAATACACCATTATCATCTATATTATAGCGGCGCTTGTGGTTGTCTGATAAAAAAACACAACACACAACAAATGACAAGTTATTGAGATATTAAAACGAACTGGATTGACAGAAATCACAACAAAATGCAGTCCGTTAATGTGGATCAGCTGCCGACGAATCCGCGCGAGACCGCGAATCCGTTGTCATCGCTGATGTTTTGGTATGTTTGTGAAATTGCGATTTATAATCATAAAGATCATATATTAAATAAAATATTTTTGTTTTTATTACAACCATTATTTTCAGCTATACTATGCCCACATTTTTCAAGGGACGCAAAAAGACTCTAGATGAAAATGATCTCTATAAGGCATTAAACGAACACAAGTCCGGTAAGTGCATGAATCACGCCTATATATCTTGATGAAATCTTTCGGATTGCCCCCAAAAGAAATTGTGATTGATTGCCAAAAATGTTGCCGTCAAAATCGAGTATAAAGCTCTGCTTTGCATATCAAATAAGCCGAAGTCAGGTACAAATATGCCATTTCCAATATTCAGAAAAACCAAAAAAGGACACATAAATAAATCAAAGGCATCGCTTGAACTCAATTGTCTTGTAAACTCAAATTAATGAACAATCGAAGTAAAAGAGTTTCTAGAGTTATGAGTCATGGAAACAGGCAACTTCCCCATATCCAGCTCTAGTTTTCTAGAAGGCGCTTGCAATAGGGTTCAATGTACAATTAGTTGCGATTTCGGAGAGACTCTAGACTCTGGGCAATTAAATAATATAGTTATCATAAAAACCAGTTGAGCTCCTTACGTGATGAAAATAGAATATGGAATAGTATGACAAATTGTATGGCTACGTATTATCTATGGAAATATCAACTGTTGAGACATATTTAACGTGTGATTTGAAGTGGCAGAAAAGAAACGACGCACCTGGAAAGCCACTTAAAAGTACAGTTTTTTTTTATTTTATTTTTTTTTTTTTTTGGTTTCCAACGATTAGATAGAATAGACCATGTGCCAGGAAGCCACCCTGATGGATAAGCAGGGTTTTTTTTTAGAATTTCGTGGGCCATGGCAGACAATTGCGAAGGCCCTTTGAAATAATTATATATGCCTGCTATCCGCACTTCCTATTGCCGTTAACCATTATCTGTTTGAGTATTATCTCAAACAATTTTTCATAAATCATATGCGAACTCATCCTTTGATAAGATTTCTGTCATTCAATTGACGCTAATAAAAACTCTATTATAAGTTTTTCAGTTAAACGCGCTTATCGGCCGAATTGAGTCGAAAGGAAAAAAATTGAACTTTGATTTTTATGGTACCATTAATAAAAATATAAAATCAGTGGCCGTTAGTGCCAAATTTTTTTTGGGTGATAGCCATTTGATAACTTTGACAAGCAGCATTGCCGCAATTAATGAGCTTCCCCTTTTGACCGCCAATGATATATGAGATATTAAATTAAATATCGTCCGCTTATATACTTCGAATATATGAGCCCATAGAGACACACTGAGCACTGACATTAAGTGGGCTCGCGCACAATCTAATCGGGCATACGTCTTGAGCAAATATTTATTTAGGTAAACAATGGCAAATAACTAATTTTCCTTTTCCTTCTTACCTTTTGTCAAAGACTTATCTAGTGTATGCATTTCAAAGCCACTTAAGATTGGCCAAAACCACTGCGGAAGTGCCCATGACGATGGCCATCGGCTATTGGGCGGGTATATGGCGCATGCAACCAGGTCTGACCAGGTGGGATTAGCCGGGCCAACTGTTAACTGATAACTGATAAGGCTAAGGGACAGCTGATTGCAGCTCGGGGCTTTTACGGCACATAACTCACAGCTCAGAAGCAATGACAATAGAAACTAAAAGCTTGATATGCCTCTTTATAAGCGATAAAAATCATGGAATCGAATCGTAAAACCCTCAATTCCATGTGCTTGTCATATTATTATCGCCTATAAAGTCATGTCTACACAATCCATTATATCACGATAAGCAGCTTTCATTTAAGAGTGTTACGCATAGAAAAAGGGATTGAAATTCAACCTGAAAATCTTGCACCAAACGGGACTGAAAATCGAACAAAAGGGAAATTGTTATAAATTTGGTGCACGGCTCGAACTTACTTTCGCTTAAAGTTTCGATTTGTTAGCCCGATGATCGACAACAATATATATATCTAAATTGGAATTTAAATATAATTTAAGTATATAAATAATGCATAAAGAAACGATTCGTTGACAATAAATCATAGTTATTTGAGAAAAACACGCATAGGCGTAAATTATGTCTATATTTCGAAGTGGATTTATAACAAAATATCATATATTTTTAATTCAAGATAAACTCGGTAAGAAGCTCAGCGATGCCTGGGAGAAGGAGGTGGAGGAGAAGCGCAAGAAGAAGAAAACGCCCAGCTTGTTTAAGGCAACGATGAGCGTCTTTGGCTGGAACTTTGGCATACTCGGCTTTGTTTTGTTTATAGTCGAGATGGGTTTCCGGTAAGCTACAAACACACACACACACACACACACACACACACACACACACGCACACCCATTCGTTATTTATGATCGCAATTATTGTAATCTGTTTGGCCACAGCGTGACACAACCTCTGTGTTTGGGCGGGCTGGTGGCCTTCTATGCGGACCCGGACAACCAGAATAGCGATGACCAGAGCACAGCCATCCTGTATGCCGTGGGCGTTATCTTGTGCAGCGCATTCAATGTTATATTTATGCACCCCTACATGCTCGGCATGTTCCACACGGGCATGAAGGTGCGCGTTGCAATGTGCAGCATGATTTATCGCAAGGCGTTGCGTCTCAGTCGCACAGCGCTGGGCGCCACAACGACCGGCCAGGTGGTTAATCTTATATCGAACGATGTCGGTCGCCTGGACGTCTCTGTCATACACGTCCATTATTTATGGCTGGGCCCGGTGGAGATCGCTGTGGTCACTTGGCTCATGTACAGAGAGGTGAGTGCGAACGAACTTTATTCTTTTGACTGATTAATTAATTCGATCAGCTTCACATTCTCTTAATATTAAATATTTATACAATTCCTTCCCCTGCAGATTGGCGTCTCGGCCTTCTTTGGTGTCGCAATAATGTTGCTGTTCATACCGCTCCAAGCCTATCTGGGAAAGAAGACCTCTACACTGCGTCTGAAAACGGCCTTACGTACGGATGAGCGTGTGCGCATGATGAATGAGATCATTTCGGGCATTCAGGTGATCAAAATGTACGCCTGGGAGATACCATTCAGCAATATGATTAACTATGTGCGTGGCAAGGAGATGAATGCCATACGTAAAGTGAACTATATCCGCGGCACACTGCAGAGCTTCATCATGTATGTGACGCGTATTTCGGTGTTTGTCAGCCTGGTGGGCTATGTGCTGCTGGGACAACTGCTGACCGCGGAGAAGGCTTTTGCCATTACCGCCTACTATAATATTCTGCGCAATACAATGACCATCTATTTTCCCATGGGCATCTCGCAGGTAAATAAACAGTCAACATTTGTGTATATGCTGTTATAATCAATTCGGCCTAAGATTTTAAATATCCATTAATGTTAACGTATATGTTTTAAAATGTACGTTAACAGGCAGAGATAACAGCAGATCTGTTAAAATAATGGTCAGCACAAATTTTGACCAGCGCTGTTAAAATAGGGGTTAACATTAGCTATAGCATTAGTAATATCGATTGCTGTTGTTTAACTTAGCATGTAAATATTATGGAAAAGCCCGGCAAAAAACAATTTGAAATCAATTTAAAATTTTTGAAGATTATATCAACAATCTATGAAGGCTAGTCAATTATTAATATGTATTATTGATTTTTATTAAATTATATCTATATTTAATTTAATTTCTCTGCAATTCTCCAGTTCGCCGAGCTGCTCGTTTCCATAGGCCGCATACAAAAGTTTATGATGCACGAGGAGACCAAAGTGCGCGACAAGTCCAACGATCTGAATGAACAAAAGCTGGGCAATAAACCGCTAGCCAGCCTGGTAGAGGAGCCAGCGGCGACAGTCACCGGTGTGCTGAAGGCAAGCAGTCGCCGGCCCAGCGAGGCTGAGAGCAGCGTAGTCATCAGCAAGATGAAGGCCAAGTGGGACTCAAAGTCGACCGAGTACACGCTAGACAATCTGAGCCTCACGTTCAAGCCGCGGCAGCTAGTGGCTGTCATTGGACCCGTCGGTGCCGGCAAATCCAGTTTGATACAGACCATTCTCGGGGAGTTGCCGCCCGAATCGGGCACCGTAAAAGTGAACGGCACCCTGTCGTATGCATCGCAGGAGCCGTGGCTCTTCACTGGCACAGTTCGTCAGAATATACTGTTTGGTCTGCCCATGGACAAGAGCCGCTATCGTCAGGTGGTGAAAAAGTGCGCGCTCGAGCGCGATTTTGAGCTGCTGCCGTACGGAGACAAGACAATTGTGGGCGAGCGTGGCGCCTCCTTATCGGGTGGCCAGAAGGCACGCATCAGTCTGGCGCGTGCCGTGTACCGCAAGGCAGATATCTATCTGCTGGATGACCCGCTCAGCGCTGTGGACACCCATGTGGGCCGTCATCTATTCGATCAATGCATGCGTGGCTATCTGCGGGATAACATTGTACTCCTGGTTACGCATCAGCTGCAATTCTTGGAGCAGGCCGATCTTATAGTCATCCTGGACAAGGGCAAGATCAGTGCCAAGGGTACCTATGAGTCCATGTGCAAGAGTGGTCTAGACTTTGCCCAAATGTTAACCGATCCCAGCAAGAAAGATGAGAGCGCCGGCGATGCGCCCGACAAACGAAAATTATCGCAGATCAGCAAGCGCAGTCGCGCGAACAGTGTCTCATCCATGGAATCTGGCGCCGAATCTGTGGTCATGGAGTCACCCATGCAGACCCAGGAGAACCGCACCGAGGGACGCATTGGCATGGGTCTCTATAAGAAATACTTTGCTGCCAACGGTTACTTTCTGTTCATTGTGTTTGCTTTCTTTTGCATTGGCGCCCAGGTGTTGGGCTCTGGCGGCGACATGTTCCTGTCCTACTGGTGAGTAATTATCTGGGCAAATCGACTCAGTTTAGGTCCATCCATAATCTTAAATGAAAGTTAATCTCCTATATATACTTTCCTCAGGGTAAACAAGAATGGGGAAACGAATACGGATACCTTTATGTCACGTCTGCGTCGCTCCTTTATGCCGAGAATCAATAGCGATACCGATCCCGTCGATATATACTACTTTACGGCCATTAACGTCTTAGTGATTGTGTTCTCCCTGGTGCGCAGTGTGCTCTTCTTTTATCTGGCCTCCAAGAGCTCCACGACGCTGCATAACAGAATGTTCCAGGGTGTGACACGTGCGGCGATGCATTTCTTCAATACAAACCCATCGGGTCGCATATTGAATCGGTTCTCCAAGGATCTGGGTCAGGTGGATGAGATATTGCCATCGGTCATGATGGATGTCATGCAGATATTCCTCTGCATTCTGGGCATTATTGTTGTGCTGTGCATTGTGAATGTCTGGTATCTGTTGGTGACGTTTATACTGGTCGTTATCTTCTATCTGCTGCGCGCCTTCTATCTGACCACGTCCAGAGATGTTAAGAGATTGGAGGCGATAAGTAAGTGTGGCATTTGGAGTTGATTATGTAGTCCCGGTTTCATTTTTCCATCTGATCTTCTGCAGCTCGCTCGCCCATCTACTCGCATTTGAGCGCCTCGCTGAATGGTCTGGCCACGATACGCGCTTTTGGCGCACAGAAGGAGCTCATTGCGGAGTTTGATAATTTCCAAGATTTGCACAGCTCTGGATTTTATATGTTCCTGGCGACAAGTCGTGCCTTTGGCTACTGGCTGGATTTGGTTTGCGTGCTTTATATTGCCATAATTACACTCAGCTTTTTCCTTTTCTCGCCAGAAAATGGCGGCGACGTTGGCTTGGCTATAACACAGGTACCACTCGTTATATTGAACATTGAAAACCTTTGCTAACTTATCTCTTAATATGAAACACAGGCCATGGGCATGACGGGCATGGTGCAATGGGGCATGCGTCAGTCCGCTGAGTTGGAGAACACCATGACTTCGGTGGAACGCGTCGTTGAATATGAGGATCTGGAGCCGGAGGGCGACTTCGAGTCCAAGCCGAACAAGAAGCCACCCAAGGATTGGCCCGATGAGGGTAAAATTAAATTCGAAGATCTGAGCTTGCGTTACTTCCCCGACAAGGATGCGGACTATGTGCTGCGCTCGCTGAACATTGCCATCGATGCCTGCGAAAAGGTTGGCATCGTTGGACGCACTGGCGCCGGCAAATCGTCGCTGATCAATGCACTGTTCCGACTGTCCTACAACGAAGGCTCCATTCTAATCGATCGCCGTGACACCAATGAACTGGGCCTGCACGATTTGCGCAGCAAGATTTCCATTATACCACAGGAGCCGGTGCTGTTCTCCGGCACCATGCGTTACAATCTGGATCCGTTTGACGAATACTCCGACGCGAAACTCTGGGAGTCACTGGAGGAGGTCAAGCTGAAGAAGGTGGTGGCCGACCTGCCCAGCGGACTGATGAGCAAAATTTCCGAGGGTGGCACCAACTTCAGCGTGGGTCAGCGCCAGCTGGTGTGCCTCGCGCGTGCTATTCTGCGCGAAAATCGCATTCTGGTCATGGACGAGGCCACGGCCAATGTGGATCCACAGACAGATGCCCTCATACAGAACACGATTAGGAGCAAGTTCAAGGATTGCACAGTGCTGACAATTGCGCATCGTCTACACACGGTCATGGACTCGGATAAGGTTTTGGTTATGGATGCCGGACGTGCCGTTGAGTTTGCATCGCCCTTCGAGCTGCTCACCGTCAGCGAGAAAAAGGTATTCCACAGCATGGTCAAACAGACGGGCGACGCCACATTTGATGCGCTGCTCAAGGTTGCACAAAAGGTGAGTCTCCTTAAGGAATATAACACAGGAACATTATATATTACTGATATATTATTTATCTCGACAGGCGCATGAGGATAATTTGCGCGCGAAAAAAGATTCTTGACATTTCCTTTTGCCAAAGGCTTTTAAAGACTACATACTTAAGATACTGGAACCAATTACGAACCACCCGGCTGCCAATGCGCGCATACAAAAGACCTTTCTGTTTGCGGAGGCTTCCAAACAGAAACTATTGGGGTAGCCCAAGAATAAGTAATGCAAAAACACACAACAAAATAAAAACAATTAAACAATTATAGTTAAGCAAACAATTTTTGTAACACGCAGATGTACAAATCAAATATCACTAAATGTTAGTTGAATTGATTATAGAACTATAGTACGAAATGTATGACAATAAGCTCTGGTTTGAGCATGTAAATCAAATTGATAAAAACGAAAAAAAGGGAAAGTTCTAGCTCAACCGCGCAAAATGTACCTTGAAAGGGTCTCATTGAAAAATGATTAAAATGTGTTCCATATCGACAATAACAATGACAAAATCAAACAAAAAAGAATTACTTTAAACTGTTACGTCTAGTATTAATGTGTTTTTATAGTAATTTATTAATGTACAGGTACACATAATAAATGTAACAATTTAGATTTTTATTTGGTTGTTTTTGATTTTCTACATAATTCTTAATTTATATTTTCGCATTAGCTTTTCAGTTCGTTAACTTACTTGTACAACTGCATTTAAATCATCTACAAAAAAAAAAAACAAAGATTCAACGCATTTATAACAACAAAAGAAAGTTTCTTCCATTTGCTGCAAACTGATTAAAACTTAAAAAACTAGAATTTTTAAATTCAAGTGCTCGAGAGCTCACATTTAAAACTAAGCGACGCTTTTTAAAAGCGCATAAATATATATATATATATATATATATATTTATATTTATATAGCTGCTGCTGTACACACACGTAACTTCATCTAGGCTTTAGCTTTAGTTGATTTTATATATATATGTAGATAACTGTGTGCCATTGTATTTCTATTAACTATCATATCATGTGCGTATATATCAAATCTAGACCACCAGCGACAGCCAGGCGCCAATCAAACAGAAGCCCCCAATCGTGGCATAATGCTGCAGTCGCTTCTCCCCAGTCAGAGCACGATAATACATGCAGCCTGAAAAGAGTACGGTGCCCATAGTCATCAAAACGCCAGTCTGCAAAACATTTTAATATTATTAAGCGTATGCAAAAAAATATAAGAAAATTATTTATACTGCATTTAAGTGTTAGACAATAATAATGTATGGCCTGCATTTTTTTGATGTTAGCTTTAGTTGTTGGCTTTGAAAAACAAAACAAAAAAAAACTCCCAATGCAAGCTCTACGATTTACTTATCGCATAAGGCTGAAAACCAAATTATTTGAAAAAAAAAAACAAACATACAAAAAATTTAGCAGCGTTATTGAAGCTGTCTTTTGGTACGTTTTTTAAAACAAAGAAAATTTAAAGAAACAAGTGTGTAGAATTAAGGAAAACAAATACATATTTCCTATATCCTCAAAACCCTATGCCATATCAGATCTGAACCTCTCATATCATATATATATTACAAATAATGATGTTACATGTTAGAAATTATCGTATACAAGTTTCGTAATGTGGTATTGAAATTAATTTTAAGCTGCAATTAGTGGTTGTTGAACATTTAGCTTTAGCTTTGAAAAACAAAAACAGAAAGTTCATATACAATCTGCACTTCTAATAGAACGTAATTTGTGAGCGCTTAGCCCATATCACGATTCAATTACCTTCTTTCTTTTTTATTTACAAACACGAGTGTGTCAATTACATATACATGAAATCCATATTTATATACACATTACTGTTGAATATCGAATTTGAATTGCGCAGAGATCAAATCATTCAAAGTGTAACGCGAGTTGTTATAAATTCCGTTCAGAAATTTACTCTTACAATGTGAAATAACTAAAAAAGCTTTATGATGCTCAATAAACGGTATGATGATCCAACAGAACTCTTTGGTTTTTTTTTTAAACAAGGGTTATCCGCCTTATAAAAAAAAAGTGCTTTGGCCGAGAGTGCCAGACTAGCTCATACCCGCACGAGTGTGCTTCTATTTCTTAGACCTGCATTTTGACAAAGTTATTTTACAATCACATTATCAAAAATAAAGATGTAATATGCATTTACGAATTCTTAACCTTAGAAAATTATTTATTCTAGAATCTATACGGCTAATGAGGTCTAAGATGCTTTCTTCTATCATTTGCAATGGGCACAGATATATTCGAAACTTATCAACAAACTCGCATACTTACAAAGATTGGATAATGTGCCAGAGGCATGCACATGAGTGCAAATGAATGTAGAAAATGTATGCGATTGGCAACATCAGCAAAAGCCTGAGACTCCAGCTGCTCCTTGGGATCATGGACATCCTTCAGAAAGTACTTACAATAGGCGCCCATGAAAATGGCCGATGCACCGCCCAAGCCGGCAATACGCACAAAATTATAGTGACTGCCGACAATGCCGTGCATCGAGACATTTAAAGGTTGGACCTGCATTGGCACTCCCATCTGGGTATCGTTCACAGGTATATTCTTGGGACGCAGTCCCTACAACAAAAAAACAAAGCATTTGCAACGATAAGCGTCAAAAGCAAAAGAACACAGTTGAATAATATGAACTTACTATCGCACGCAAAATTGGTGCTGCTGGGACAACTGCTGACCGCGGAGAAGGCTTTTGCCATTACCGCCTACTATAATATTCTGCGCAATACAATGACCATCTATTTTCCCATGGGCATCTCGCAGGTAAATAAACAGTCAACATTTGTGTATATGCTGTTATAATCAATTCGGCCTAAGATTTTAAATATCCATTAATGTTAACGTATATGTTTTAAAATGTACGTTAACAGGCAGAGATAACAGCAGATCTGTTAAAATAATGGTCAGCACAAATTTTGACCAGCGCTGTTAAAATAGGGGTTAACATTAGCTATAGCATTAGTAATATCGATTGCTGTTGTTTAACTTAGCATGTAAATATTATGGAAAAGCCCGGCAAAAAACAATTTGAAATCAATTTAAAATTTTTGAAGATTATATCAACAATCTATGAAGGCTAGTCAATTATTAATATGTATTATTGATTTTTATTAAATTATATCTATATTTAATTTAATTTCTCTGCAATTCTCCAGTTCGCCGAGCTGCTCGTTTCCATAGGCCGCATACAAAAGTTTATGATGCACGAGGAGACCAAAGTGCGCGACAAGTCCAACGATCTGAATGAACAAAAGCTGGGCAATAAACCGCTAGCCAGCCTGGTAGAGGAGCCAGCGGCGACAGTCACCGGTGTGCTGAAGGCAAGCAGTCGCCGGCCCAGCGAGGCTGAGAGCAGCGTAGTCATCAGCAAGATGAAGGCCAAGTGGGACTCAAAGTCGACCGAGTACACGCTAGACAATCTGAGCCTCACGTTCAAGCCGCGGCAGCTAGTGGCTGTCATTGGACCCGTCGGTGCCGGCAAATCCAGTTTGATACAGACCATTCTCGGGGAGTTGCCGCCCGAATCGGGCACCGTAAAAGTGAACGGCACCCTGTCGTATGCATCGCAGGAGCCGTGGCTCTTCACTGGCACAGTTCGTCAGAATATACTGTTTGGTCTGCCCATGGACAAGAGCCGCTATCGTCAGGTGGTGAAAAAGTGCGCGCTCGAGCGCGATTTTGAGCTGCTGCCGTACGGAGACAAGACAATTGTGGGCGAGCGTGGCGCCTCCTTATCGGGTGGCCAGAAGGCACGCATCAGTCTGGCGCGTGCCGTGTACCGCAAGGCAGATATCTATCTGCTGGATGACCCGCTCAGCGCTGTGGACACCCATGTGGGCCGTCATCTATTCGATCAATGCATGCGTGGCTATCTGCGGGATAACATTGTACTCCTGGTTACGCATCAGCTGCAATTCTTGGAGCAGGCCGATCTTATAGTCATCCTGGACAAGGGCAAGATCAGTGCCAAGGGTACCTATGAGTCCATGTGCAAGAGTGGTCTAGACTTTGCCCAAATGTTAACCGATCCCAGCAAGAAAGATGAGAGCGCCGGCGATGCGCCCGACAAACGAAAATTATCGCAGATCAGCAAGCGCAGTCGCGCGAACAGTGTCTCATCCATGGAATCTGGCGCCGAATCTGTGGTCATGGAGTCACCCATGCAGACCCAGGAGAACCGCACCGAGGGACGCATTGGCATGGGTCTCTATAAGAAATACTTTGCTGCCAACGGTTACTTTCTGTTCATTGTGTTTGCTTTCTTTTGCATTGGCGCCCAGGTGTTGGGCTCTGGCGGCGACATGTTCCTGTCCTACTGGTGAGTAATTATCTGGGCAAATCGACTCAGTTTAGGTCCATCCATAATCTTAAATGAAAGTTAATCTCCTATATATACTTTCCTCAGGGTAAACAAGAATGGGGAAACGAATACGGATACCTTTATGTCACGTCTGCGTCGCTCCTTTATGCCGAGAATCAATAGCGATACCGATCCCGTCGATATATACTACTTTACGGCCATTAACGTCTTAGTGATTGTGTTCTCCCTGGTGCGCAGTGTGCTCTTCTTTTATCTGGCCTCCAAGAGCTCCACGACGCTGCATAACAGAATGTTCCAGGGTGTGACACGTGCGGCGATGCATTTCTTCAATACAAACCCATCGGGTCGCATATTGAATCGGTTCTCCAAGGATCTGGGTCAGGTGGATGAGATATTGCCATCGGTCATGATGGATGTCATGCAGATATTCCTCTGCATTCTGGGCATTATTGTTGTGCTGTGCATTGTGAATGTCTGGTATCTGTTGGTGACGTTTATACTGGTCGTTATCTTCTATCTGCTGCGCGCCTTCTATCTGACCACGTCCAGAGATGTTAAGAGATTGGAGGCGATAAGTAAGTGTGGCATTTGGAGTTGATTATGTAGTCCCGGTTTCATTTTTCCATCTGATCTTCTGCAGCTCGCTCGCCCATCTACTCGCATTTGAGCGCCTCGCTGAATGGTCTGGCCACGATACGCGCTTTTGGCGCACAGAAGGAGCTCATTGCGGAGTTTGATAATTTCCAAGATTTGCACAGCTCTGGATTTTATATGTTCCTGGCGACAAGTCGTGCCTTTGGCTACTGGCTGGATTTGGTTTGCGTGCTTTATATTGCCATAATTACACTCAGCTTTTTCCTTTTCTCGCCAGAAAATGGCGGCGACGTTGGCTTGGCTATAACACAGGTACCACTCGTTATATTGAACATTGAAAACCTTTGCTAACTTATCTCTTAATATGAAACACAGGCCATGGGCATGACGGGCATGGTGCAATGGGGCATGCGTCAGTCCGCTGAGTTGGAGAACACCATGACTTCGGTGGAACGCGTCGTTGAATATGAGGATCTGGAGCCGGAGGGCGACTTCGAGTCCAAGCCGAACAAGAAGCCACCCAAGGATTGGCCCGATGAGGGTAAAATTAAATTCGAAGATCTGAGCTTGCGTTACTTCCCCGACAAGGATGCGGACTATGTGCTGCGCTCGCTGAACATTGCCATCGATGCCTGCGAAAAGGTTGGCATCGTTGGACGCACTGGCGCCGGCAAATCGTCGCTGATCAATGCACTGTTCCGACTGTCCTACAACGAAGGCTCCATTCTAATCGATCGCCGTGACACCAATGAACTGGGCCTGCACGATTTGCGCAGCAAGATTTCCATTATACCACAGGAGCCGGTGCTGTTCTCCGGCACCATGCGTTACAATCTGGATCCGTTTGACGAATACTCCGACGCGAAACTCTGGGAGTCACTGGAGGAGGTCAAGCTGAAGAAGGTGGTGGCCGACCTGCCCAGCGGACTGATGAGCAAAATTTCCGAGGGTGGCACCAACTTCAGCGTGGGTCAGCGCCAGCTGGTGTGCCTCGCGCGTGCTATTCTGCGCGAAAATCGCATTCTGGTCATGGACGAGGCCACGGCCAATGTGGATCCACAGACAGATGCCCTCATACAGAACACGATTAGGAGCAAGTTCAAGGATTGCACAGTGCTGACAATTGCGCATCGTCTACACACGGTCATGGACTCGGATAAGGTTTTGGTTATGGATGCCGGACGTGCCGTTGAGTTTGCATCGCCCTTCGAGCTGCTCACCGTCAGCGAGAAAAAGGTATTCCACAGCATGGTCAAACAGACGGGCGACGCCACATTTGATGCGCTGCTCAAGGTTGCACAAAAGGTGAGTCTCCTTAAGGAATATAACACAGGAACATTATATATTACTGATATATTATTTATCTCGACAGGCGCATGAGGATAATTTGCGCGCGAAAAAAGATTCTTGACATTTCGCTGTGCCAAAGGCTTTTAAAGACTACATACTTAAGATACTGGAACCAATTACGAACCACCCGGCTGCCAATGCGCGCATACAAAAGACCTTTCTGTTTGCGGAGGCTTCCAAACAGAAACTATTGGGGTAGCCCAAGAATAAGTAATGCAAAAACACACAACAAAATAAAAACAATTAAACAATTATAGTTAAGCAAACAATTTTTGTAACACGCAGATGTACAAATCAAATATCACTAAATGTTAGTTGAATTGATTATAGAACTATAGTACGAAATGTATGACAATAAGCTCTGGTTTGACCATGTAAATCAAATTGATAAAAACGAAAAAAAGGGAAAGTTCTAGCTCAACCGCGCAAAATGTACCTTGAAAGGGTCTCATTGAAAAATGATTAAAATGTGTTCCATATCGACAATAACAATGACAAAATCAAACAAAAAAGAATTACTATAAACTGTTACGTCTAGTATTAATGTGTTTTTATAGTAATTTATTAATGTACAGGTACACATAATAAATGTAACAATTTAGATTTTTATTTGGTTGTTTTTGATTTTCTACATAATTCTTAATTTATATTTTCGCATTAGCTTTTCAGTTCGTTAACTTACTTGTACAACTGCATTTAAATCATCTACAAAAAAAAAAAACAAAGATTCAACGCATTTATAACAACAAAAGAAAGTTTCTTCCATTTGCTGCAAACTGATTAAAACTTAAAAAACTAGAATTTTTAAATTCAAGTGCTCGAGAGCTCACATTTAAAACTAAGCGACGCTTTTTAAAAGCGCATAAATATATATATATATATATATATATTTATATTTATATAGCTGCTGCTGTACACACACGTAACTTCATCTAGGCTTTAGCTTTAGTTGATTTTATATATATATGTAGATAACTGTGTGCCATTGTATTTCTATTAACTATCATATCATGTGCGTATATATCAAATCTAGACCACCAGCGACAGCCAGGCGCCAATCAAACAGAAGCCCCCAATCGTGGCATAATGCTGCAGTCGCTTCTCCCCAGTCAGAGCACGATAATACATGCAGCCTGAAAAGAGTACGGTGCCCATAGTCATCAAAACGCCAGTCTGCAAAACATTTTAATATTATTAAGCGTATGCAAAAAAATATAAGAAAATTATTTATACTGCATTTAAGTGTTAGACAATAATAATGTATGGCCTGCATTTTTTTGATGTTAGCTTTAGTTGTTGGCTTTGAAAAACAAAACAAAAAAAAACTCCCAATGCAAGCTCTACGATTTACTTATCGCATAAGGCTGAAAACCAAATTATTTGAAAAAAAAAAACAAACATACAAAAAATTTAGCAGCGTTATTGAAGCTGTCTTTTGGTACGTTTTTTAAAACAAAGAAAATTTAAAGAAACAAGTGTGTAGAATTAAGGAAAACAAATACATATTTCCTATATCCTCAAAACCCTATGCCATATCAGATCTGAACCTCTCATATCATATATATATTACAAATAATGATGTTACATGTTAGAAATTATCGTATACAAGTTTCGTAATGTGGTATTGAAATTAATTTTAAGCTGCAATTAGTGGTTGTTGAACATTTAGCTTTAGCTTTGAAAAACAAAAACAGAAAGTTCATATACAATCTGCACTTCTAATAGAACGTAATTTGTGAGCGCTTAGCCCATATCACGATTCAATTACCTTCTTTCTTTTTTATTTACAAACACGAGTGTGTCAATTACATATACATGAAATCCATATTTATATACACATTACTGTTGAATATCGAATTTGAATTGCGCAGAGATCAAATCATTCAAAGTGTAACGCGAGTTGTTATAAATTCCGTTCAGAAATTTACTCTTACAATGTGAAATAACTAAAAAAGCTTTATGATGCTCAATAAACGGTATGATGATCCAACAGAACTCTTTGGTTTTTTTTTTTAAACAAGGGTTATCCGCCTTATAAAAAAAAAGTGCTTTGGCCGAGAGTGCCAGACTAGCTCATACCCGCACGAGTGTGCTTCTATTTCTTAGACCTGCATTTTGACAAAGTTATTTTACAATCACATTATCAAAAATAAAGATGTAATATGCATTTACGAATTCTTAACCTTAGAAAATTATTTATTCTAGAATCTATACGGCTAATGAGGTCTAAGATGCTTTCTTCTATCATTTGCAATGGGCACAGATATATTCGAAACTTATCAACAAACTCGCATACTTACAAAGATTGGATAATGTGCCAGAGGCATGCACATGAGTGCAAATGAATGTAGAAAATGTATGCGATTGGCAACATCAGCAAAAGCCTGAGACTCCAGCTGCTCCTTGGGATCATGGACATCCTTCAGAAAGTACTTACAATAGGCGCCCATGAAAATGGCCGATGCACCGCCCAAGCCGGCAATACGCACAAAATTATAGTGACTGCCGACAATGCCGTGCATCGAGACATTTAAAGGTTGGACCTGCATTGGCACTCCCATCTGGGTATCGTTCACAGGTATATTCTTGGGACGCAGTCCCTACAACAAAAAAACAAAGCATTTGCAACGATAAGCGTCAAAAGCAAAAGAACACAGTTGAATAATATGAACTTACTATCGCACGCAAAATTGGTGCTGCTGGGACAACTGCTGACCGCGGAGAAGGCTTTTGCCATTACCGCCTACTATAATATTCTGCGCAATACAATGACCATCTATTTTCCCATGGGCATCTCGCAGGTAAATAAACAGTCAACATTTGTGTATATGCTGTTATAATCAATTCGGCCTAAGATTTTAAATATCCATTAATGTTAACGTATATGTTTTAAAATGTACGTTAACAGGCAGAGATAACAGCAGATCTGTTAAAATAATGGTCAGCACAAATTTTGACCAGCGCTGTTAAAATAGGGGTTAACATTAGCTATAGCATTAGTAATATCGATTGCTGTTGTTTAACTTAGCATGTAAATATTATGGAAAAGCCCGGCAAAAAACAATTTGAAATCAATTTAAAATTTTTGAAGATTATATCAACAATCTATGAAGGCTAGTCAATTATTAATATGTATTATTGATTTTTATTAAATTATATCTATATTTAATTTAATTTCTCTGCAATTCTCCAGTTCGCCGAGCTGCTCGTTTCCATAGGCCGCATACAAAAGTTTATGATGCACGAGGAGACCAAAGTGCGCGACAAGTCCAACGATCTGAATGAACAAAAGCTGGGCAATAAACCGCTAGCCAGCCTGGTAGAGGAGCCAGCGGCGACAGTCACCGGTGTGCTGAAGGCAAGCAGTCGCCGGCCCAGCGAGGCTGAGAGCAGCGTAGTCATCAGCAAGATGAAGGCCAAGTGGGACTCAAAGTCGACCGAGTACACGCTAGACAATCTGAGCCTCACGTTCAAGCCGCGGCAGCTAGTGGCTGTCATTGGACCCGTCGGTGCCGGCAAATCCAGTTTGATACAGACCATTCTCGGGGAGTTGCCGCCCGAATCGGGCACCGTAAAAGTGAACGGCACCCTGTCGTATGCATCGCAGGAGCCGTGGCTCTTCACTGGCACAGTTCGTCAGAATATACTGTTTGGTCTGCCCATGGACAAGAGCCGCTATCGTCAGGTGGTGAAAAAGTGCGCGCTCGAGCGCGATTTTGAGCTGCTGCCGTACGGAGACAAGACAATTGTGGGCGAGCGTGGCGCCTCCTTATCGGGTGGCCAGAAGGCACGCATCAGTCTGGCGCGTGCCGTGTACCGCAAGGCAGATATCTATCTGCTGGATGACCCGCTCAGCGCTGTGGACACCCATGTGGGCCGTCATCTATTCGATCAATGCATGCGTGGCTATCTGCGGGATAACATTGTACTCCTGGTTACGCATCAGCTGCAATTCTTGGAGCAGGCCGATCTTATAGTCATCCTGGACAAGGGCAAGATCAGTGCCAAGGGTACCTATGAGTCCATGTGCAAGAGTGGTCTAGACTTTGCCCAAATGTTAACCGATCCCAGCAAGAAAGATGAGAGCGCCGGCGATGCGCCCGACAAACGAAAATTATCGCAGATCAGCAAGCGCAGTCGCGCGAACAGTGTCTCATCCATGGAATCTGGCGCCGAATCTGTGGTCATGGAGTCACCCATGCAGACCCAGGAGAACCGCACCGAGGGACGCATTGGCATGGGTCTCTATAAGAAATACTTTGCTGCCAACGGTTACTTTCTGTTCATTGTGTTTGCTTTCTTTTGCATTGGCGCCCAGGTGTTGGGCTCTGGCGGCGACATGTTCCTGTCCTACTGGTGAGTAATTATCTGGGCAAATCGACTCAGTTTAGGTCCATCCATAATCTTAAATGAAAGTTAATCTCCTATATATACTTTCCTCAGGGTAAACAAGAATGGGGAAACGAATACGGATACCTTTATGTCACGTCTGCGTCGCTCCTTTATCCCTGGTGCGCAGTGTGCTCTTCTTTTATCTGGCCTCCAAGAGCTCCACGACGCTGCATAACAGAATGTTCCAGGGTGTGACACGTGCGGCGATGCATTTCTTCAATACAAACCCATCGGGTCGCATATTGAATCGGTTCTCCAAGGATCTGGGTCAGGTGGATGAGATATTGCCATCGGTCATGATGGATGTCATGCAGATATTCCTCTGCATTCTGGGCATTATTGTTGTGCTGTGCATTGTGAATGTCTGGTATCTGTTGGTGACGTTTATACTGGTCGTTATCTTCTATCTGCTGCGCGCCTTCTATCTGACCACGTCCAGAGATGTTAAGAGATTGGAGGCGATAAGTAAGTGTGGCATTTGGAGTTGATTATGTAGTCCCGGTTTCATTTTTCCATCTGATCTTCTGCAGCTCGCTCGCCCATCTACTCGCATTTGAGCGCCTCGCTGAATGGTCTGGCCACGATACGCGCTTTTGGCGCACAGAAGGAGCTCATTGCGGAGTTTGATAATTTCCAAGATTTGCACAGCTCTGGATTTTATATGTTCCTGGCGACAAGTCGTGCCTTTGGCTACTGGCTGGATTTGGTTTGCGTGCTTTATATTGCCATAATTACACTCAGCTTTTTCCTTTTCTCGCCAGAAAATGGCGGCGACGTTGGCTTGGCTATAACACAGGTACCACTCGTTATATTGAACATTGAAAACCTTTGCTAACTTATCTCTTAATATGAAACACAGGCCATGGGCATGACGGGCATGGTGCAATGGGGCATGCGTCAGTCCGCTGAGTTGGAGAACACCATGACTTCGGTGGAACGCGTCGTTGAATATGAGGATCTGGAGCCGGAGGGCGACTTCGAGTCCAAGCCGAACAAGAAGCCACCCAAGGATTGGCCCGATGAGGGTAAAATTAAATTCGAAGATCTGAGCTTGCGTTACTTCCCCGACAAGGATGCGGACTATGTGCTGCGCTCGCTGAACATTGCCATCGATGCCTGCGAAAAGGTTGGCATCGTTGGACGCACTGGCGCCGGCAAATCGTCGCTGATCAATGCACTGTTCCGACTGTCCTACAACGAAGGCTCCATTCTAATCGATCGCCGTGACACCAATGAACTGGGCCTGCACGATTTGCGCAGCAAGATTTCCATTATACCACAGGAGCCGGTGCTGTTCTCCGGCACCATGCGTTACAATCTGGATCCGTTTGACGAATACTCCGACGCGAAACTCTGGGAGTCACTGGAGGAGGTCAAGCTGAAGAAGGTGGTGGCCGACCTGCCCAGCGGACTGATGAGCAAAATTTCCGAGGGTGGCACCAACTTCAGCGTGGGTCAGCGCCAGCTGGTGTGCCTCGCGCGTGCTATTCTGCGCGAAAATCGCATTCTGGTCATGGACGAGGCCACGGCCAATGTGGATCCACAGACAGATGCCCTCATACAGAACACGATTAGGAGCAAGTTCAAGGATTGCACAGTGCTGACAATTGCGCATCGTCTACACACGGTCATGGACTCGGATAAGGTTTTGGTTATGGATGCCGGACGTGCCGTTGAGTTTGCATCGCCCTTCGAGCTGCTCACCGTCAGCGAGAAAAAGGTATTCCACAGCATGGTCAAACAGACGGGCGACGCCACATTTGATGCGCTGCTCAAGGTTGCACAAAAGGTGAGTCTCCTTAAGGAATATAACACAGGAACATTATATATTACTGATATATTATTTATCTCGACAGGCGCATGAGGATAATTTGCGCGCGAAAAAAGATTCTTGACATTTCGCTGTGCCGAAGGCTTTTAAAGACTACATACTTAAGATACTGGAACCAATTACGAACCACCCGGCTGCCAATGCGCGCATACAAAAGACCTTTCTGTTTGCGGAGGCTTCCAAACAGAAACTATTGGGGTAGCCCAAGAATAAGTAATGCAAAAACACACAACAAAATAAAAACAATTAAACAATTATAGTTAAGCAAACAATTTTTGTAACACGCAGATGTACAAATCAAATATCACTAAATGTTAGTTGAATTGATTATAGAACTATAGTACGAAATGTATGACAATAAGCTCTGGTTTGAGCATGTAAATCAAATTGATAAAAACGAAAAAAAGGGAAAGTTCTAGCTCAACCGCGCAAAATGTACCTTGAAAGGGTCTCATTGAAAAATGATTAAAATGTGTTCCATATCGACAATAACAATGACAAAATCAAACAAAAAAGAATTACTATAAACTGTTACGTCTAGTATTAATGTGTTTTTATAGTAATTTATTAATGTACAGGTACACATAATAAATGTAACAATTTAGATTTTTATTTGGTTGTTTTTGATTTTCTACATAATTCTTAATTTATATTTTCGCATTAGCTTTTCAGTTCGTTAACTTACTTGTACAACTGCATTTAAATCATCTACAAAAAAAAAAAAACAAAGATTCAACGCATTTATAACAACAAAAGAAAGTTTCTTCCATTTGCTGCAAACTGATTAAAACTTAAAAAACTAGAATTTTTAAATTCAAGTGCTCGAGAGCTCACATTTAAAACTAAGCGACGCTTTTTAAAAGCGCATAAATATATATATATATATATATATATTTATATTTATATAGCTGCTGCTGTACACACACGTAACTTCATCTAGGCTTTAGCTTTAGTTGATTTTATATATATATGTAGATAACTGTGTGCCATTGTATTTCTATTAACTATCATATCATGTGCGTATATATCAAATCTAGACCACCAGCGACAGCCAGGCGCCAATCAAACAGAAGCCCCCAATCGTGGCATAATGCTGCAGTCGCTTCTCCCCAGTCAGAGCACGATAATACATGCAGCCTGAAAAGAGTACGGTGCCCATAGTCATCAAAACGCCAGTCTGCAAAACATTTTAATATTATTAAGCGTATGCAAAAAAATATAAGAAAATTATTTATACTGCATTTAAGTGTTAGACAATAATAATGTATGGCCTGCATTTTTTTGATGTTAGCTTTAGTTGTTGGCTTTGAAAAACAAAACAAAAAAAAACTCCCAATGCAAGCTCTACGATTTACTTATCGCATAAGGCTGAAAACCAAATTATTGAAAAAAAAAAAAACAAACATACAAAAAATTTAGCAGCGTTATTGAAGCTGTCTTTTGGTACGTTTTTTAAAACAAAGAAAATTTAAAGAAACAAGTGTGTAGAATTAAGGAAAACAAATACATATTTCCTATATCCTCAAAACCCTATGCCATATCAGATCTGAACCTCTCATATCATATATATATTACAAATAATGATGTTACATGTTAGAAATTATCGTATACAAGTTTCGTAATGTGGTATTGAAATTAATTTTAAGCTGCAATTAGTGGTTGTTGAACATTTAGCTTTAGCTTTGAAAAACAAAAACAGAAAATTCATATACAATCTGCACTTCTAATAGAACGTAATTTGTGAGCGCTTAGCCCATATCATGATTCAATTATCTTCTTTCTTTTTTATTTACAAACACGAGTGTGTCAATTACATATACATGAAATCCATATTTATATGCACATTGCTGTTGAATATCGAATTTGAATTGCGCAGAGATCAAATCATTCAAAGTGTAACGCGAGTTGTTATAAATTCCGTTCAGAAATTTACTCTTACAATGTGAAATAACTAAAAAAGCTTTATGATGCTCAATAAACGGTATGATGATCCAACAGAACTCTTTGGTTTTTTTTTTAAACAAGAGTAATCCGCTTAATAAAAACAAGAGTGCTTTGGCCGAGAGTGCCAGACTAGCTCATACCCGCACGAGTGTGCTTCTATTTCTTAGACCTGTATTTTGACAAAGCTATTTTTCAATCACATTATCAAAATTATAGATGTATGATGCATTTACGAATTCTTAATCTTAGAAAATTATTTATTCTAGAATCTATATGGCTAATGAGGTCTAAGATGCTTTCTTCTATCATTTGCAATGGGCACAGATATATTCGAAACTTATAAACAAACTCGCATACTTACAAAGATTGGATAATGTGCCAGAGGCATGCACATGAGTGCAAATGAATGTAGAAAATGTATGCGATTGGCAACATCAGCAAAAGCCTGAGACTCCAGCTGCTCCTTGGGATCATGGACATCCTTCAGAAAGTACTTACAATAGGCGCCCATGAAAATGGCCGATGCACCGCCCAAGCCGGCAATACGCACAAAATTATAGTGACTGCCGACAATGCCGTGCATCGAGACATTTAAAGGTTGGACCTGCATTGGCACTCCCATCGGGGTATCGTTCACAGGTATATTCTTGGGACGCAGTCCCTACACCAAAAAAACAAAGCATTTGCAACGATAAGCGTCAAAAGCAAAATAACACAGTTGAATAATATGAACTTACTATCGCACGCAAAATTGATGACGACGAACTGATGAGCGACCGACTGATGGGATTGCCAAGGGTTATGTACTCCAGAGTATCCGCGACCGACATGTTTGCTCAACTAGCTAAAATGGAGTTTAATATCTGAGAATATATTTTGGCGTTGCAAACAGCTAGTGTACAATTTTGGTGTTTAGTGCTTGGGAGGATGTATGACGTTGCCAGAGTGGGTCAGTGCGCGAATACTTGTTATCGATATTCGATTGCATCGAAACTGTGACTGTCAATGTTAATTTCAGTGTTATGGTGATATTTTGTTTAAAAATACATCCTAATGTAAAAATGTATAGAATATTTTTGATAATTCAACTATTGAAATCTTTTTACAAGCGAAACTGAACATAGGTGATTTTTTATTTTTGAAAGTTACCCAGTGTGACCGCATATTACAGCTAGATAATGCGCTAAAATATCGATTGATTAGCGACGATTACACCAAATGTTCGAATTTATGTACCATTAACGATTAACGAATACGTAGAGAACTTTTTATTTACATTTGTTACGGAACTGCTTGTTTCTCAGTGGGCCGCGCCGGCTGGCTCATCGGATTCTCTGGGTGTGGTCCCATCCCTGGCCCGCAGTCCGCACAATCGATAACAACAAAGCTACACGTCTGTAGCAAAACAGACTCACACAACACTACTCAAAATGAACCGCATAATCGATAACAATTATTCGGAACTACTAACTCATGAACAAAATACACAGCTGTAACAACTATGAAAATGTAAACAACAAAGGTAAGACACTCAATATAAATTAACAAAAAAACACTATTTATCCACCTTACTCTTCCAGATCGGGCCCCGGTTCCGGACCCAGCGTACCCGCCCTGCCATGAGACGATCACCTCCACTCGTCTCCCTCGTTTTGGCCACTAAATGGCCTATATTAGCCCGTGTCGGCCATAATGCCCACTCTCCCCAGCAATATTATTTTAGCCGGACATGATTTCTTTCAATAGGTGCGTATAATTGGTTGCGTTTTCTTAAAATATATAACAATCATAATCATTGCTTATGGCATTTATCTTGCAGCTGTTTAGGATCTCATGCAAGCGGATAATTCATTAACTTCACAGGTGCGTATTACTGCTGCATATATTTATACTAATTGACAAAGCGCCTTAATTCCTAAATTTTTCTCTTATAGAATTAAATTTTTTTTTTTTTTTTTTTTTTTTTTTACAACACTGAATGGAACAGGCGACGAAACACTACAAGGATATTGCTAGTCGCCGCAAAAGAAACGCGCAATGAGGCACTTTAGAGGCAATCGTTGCGCCGATTTAGGAACAATGGCCCACACAATTACTTAAAACTGGGTATGTCACGTATTGTGTATTGTATGTATTAAATCGCTTAATTCTACCTTACCCTACCTAAAGAGCTCTCTGGGGGTGGTAAGGGGCGATATAAATGCGTAAATTCAAATTGGGTAAGTATGTGAGCATAGTTCGCGCAAGTGTTAATTTTAGATTTTTATATTTTACAGGCGCAGATGCATCACCTTTGGAGTTTTCCCCCCACCGTTCGCACTCTAAAGTGAAGCTCGGCGTAAGTGCCTATGTATGTATAAATATATTTCATAAATACAAATTTACTAAATTTAACGATAAAAAAAAAATCTATTCCTTTTCAGGGAGTGCAATTAGGAGTCTTCTTCTGACTCTGCCAGGGGCTCGAACGAGGATGGGCAAAGATATGGAACGGACTCACTCGGTGGATGTGGGCGGGGTCTCGCCTGTGGCCGCTTCTTTGTTGTTGGAGCCCGGTCGTTGGTGGCTCGTCTCGTCGCCTTCAGGTTTGCGCCGACGCTTGCTGGCGGCGTCGCGGATATGGCTGGTTTGCGCCGCTGCACTGAATCTTGGCCTTGAATATTTCGTGGGCCTCTCTGGTGCGCGAGCTGGTTTCCTTGGTGCCGGAGCCGTTAATTTTTGGCTTATCTGGTCCGTCTCTCGTCGCACTTAAGTTTTAAGTCTCTTTTAATTTTTTTTTATATTTTTCTTTGTGACTCGAGCGGTTTGATTTATATATATTTATTACATGGCAAAGAACACAAAACAAAACTTTTATTCGTCTGTTAAGCCATTGGTACTATGTGCCGGCTTAATTTTTCAGAAGGGAAAAAACTTTACTCTGTCGAGCAGAAATGTCCAACTTTTATCTCACTTCGAGCTGGCACGCCCGCCGTTAACCGCTGAACAAATCGAACTCCCCGACATTTTGGGCAGCCACACCATCGGTGCCGAATTTCGGCACACGCATACATTTGCGAGGCGGGCACCGTTGCTGCTCATCTGCACAGCTGCATTTTTTTGGGTCAACGGCCCAAATGAAGGCCAAGGGCATATCCAAGGGCATGCGATCCACTCTCCTCGTATTCCCTTTAAGAGCGAACCGGGCGGCCAATAGCAATCGTCGCTTTTGGCGCCGTGGATCGCATGTCTGGCGTTGCCACCCTTCAAAATTTTGGGCTCCGCCGTGGGCCCAGCTTCACCCCGCATACTCCGACCATATGACAAAAAGATATCGGCGTGGCCGATAATATCGAACGCAACCAACTGAGTAACCCTCGGTGCTGCCGATAACGTCCAATGCAACATCACCACGCAGATTATTGTAACGACATGAAGGACAGTTACAAGGAATCTGCGTGCGCATTTCATGGATTGACCCAGCCGGCTAATAACGATGCCCAACGTAGGCCACACCCACGACAAGTAATCTATATTTTTTTTTTTTTTTTTGCTGACCCAAAAAAAAGGGGGGACTGGCGCTGCCGCCGCCGTTGCCTGGCAAGGAGG